CAGTTATAGTGCTCGACCGCATAGAAGAAACATCCCGGTGAGTCAATATCCAATATTATAGCCTGCTTGATATAATTGTTTTAACCCGCTCCAATTTTGTGTTTTCCTAATCAAGCAGAATTCCTTTCATCGATTTGGCAAATAATAGTTCGTTTTAGGGAAGAGCGTGTGCATTGTACCGCATATATAAGTGTAGAAACATTTAGTAGATACAGTCCACTTAGATTAATATCTCGCGTAATAGGTTTAAGGTTCGACCGGGGAACTAGACTTCGGCAGCCTTAAACACGTGGCTCCACCAGATACTGTTCCCTGCAGAGGTAGGCGCTTCTGCTTCCGTTGTTGGTTTTTTGATGATCTTGGGTTCTTTGCTGCTCGTTCGCTTCGTTCCTCTTCCAATTGTAATTGTTGACTACTAAAATGTTTAAATTTATTAAAAACTGTATAAGACAATGTGTAAATTATGTTCGAAATGAATGTTTATTTTACTTACTTAAACTGTGTTTCAACCATCGCACAGTGATTATACAACTCATCATCATACGATGAATCGAACAGTTGATCCTTCTCCATTTCATCACAAACTTTAGACAACTCCTGATTTATTTCGCTCTTGAATAGTTCCGTATTCTCTTCCATTGTTGTGGAGAAGACAGCACTGGTGCACACTTCACTGGAGTTTGCGATCCTTATAGTAAAGAAGAAATTAGGTATAGTCTAGCAAAGGATTAGAAATGGAATATAATGAGTACACAGAAGTAATTTAAGTAAACAGAATCACATTCACTAATGATCAGCTAATGACTGTCATTGTTAAAAAAGTATTTTTTAACTTTTTCACTTTCTGCTATTGTCTTTGTAATATTGTATACAAGGGCGTTTGTGTTGTCGTAGATGCTATCCTTATTAGTCTTTACGTAATATTTAATCCTCGTGGAAGCATGTTTCCAATGATCAGTAGTTGGAATCTTGGATAGCTTCTTCATATCGTACATTTCAATTTTGATGAGATGCGTCGCTTGGTCTCCGTCGTCAGAATTAGTAGAAATGTATGATACACCATCTTTAGCGGCTCGTGCTACGGTTTATGATAACAGCTTCCTCTTTTTTATTTTTGATTCAGCTTCAAAAAAATGATCAATCGATTGCGATTTTCTTTTTCCACCATCGCATGTGTTATTATTAATGACGATGTCATCACTCTCTTCTTGAGGGGAGAGTGGCGAGTAGTAATACTGTTTATAGGTATTTTCATCGAAGCTCAATGATTTCTGCAACAACACAGTTATCATGTTAATATCAATTTGTTAACATTTAATCATAAAAGTTAAAAAAGTTAAAGTTACTGCCTATTAAAGTCCACTGCTGAACATAGGCCTCCTCTCATTTCTGAGAAGGTTTTAGGGCTAGGAAATGTTCGCTGCACTGCCTCAATGCGTGTTGGCAAACTTCACATGCCTTCGAAATTTTCTCAGACATGCAGGTTTCCTCACGATGTTTTCCTTCACCGCTGAGCACGTGGTAAATCAGCACTTAAAATTGCAATTAACAATTTAATTGGTGCCGACGGGGATCGAACCCGGGTCGCGTAATGTGAAATTTACATTTTGCGCTGACCATCTGAGCTACCATGGCTTAATCATATACACACATAATATTTAAATATAATTTGTTAACACTAAATCATACACACGTAAGAAAATAACAGAAAGAAAAGTAAGTTTGTCAATAGAATAAACACTTACATCCATGGCCTTTGATACGTTGAAGTAACACAAATGTAGTATTGATAGATCCACTGCGGTCAAACGACCATACACTAACTCAATGCAGTTGCTTAGTCTTATATAGTACCAGTAAGTAATAATTCTAATCTAAAGAATTTCTGCAGTGGAATTGATAATAACTTTATGCGTAACAAGCTTATCTCACATTCTGTTGCTTATCTCAGCATTCCTTCGTCCTTCGTGTCGTGTCTTGTTCAGTGTATTGATGACTCAAATACGTTTTGTACAACACAAAGAATGCAATTTAATATTTAGAAATCACTATAATTGATCATACCTATGTTAGTCATTGAGTAGATTGGTACTGTAATAATCTACTAATAGCAGTAATATCATGGATACACTAGATGTACAACAACATCTGACAAAGATTCACCCCACTCTAGAAAATAATGTTTATGCTGCCGATAAACTGCCCATGTACACCCACGCACCAACGTATATAATATGCAATTTGGATACAGATGATAAACCAGGATCACATTGGGTAGTAACACATATATCGATACGAATGACGTCGGTCAATATTTTGATTCATTCGGACGAGCACCTGTACGATATCATCTAGAGTTTTTAAAAAGAAATTGTAAAAGATGGAACTGGAATGTTGATAGGATTCAGAATGAGTGGACTTCAGTTTGTGGCGAATATTGCTTAATGTATTTGCTATATAAGTTTCAGGGATGTTCAATGCATAGTTTTACGAGTATAGGTATTTACAGGGAACACACGAACGATACTGTGGTAGTAGAACGATATTTTAGTGGATGAAATGTTAAGCTCCTATTTTATAGATAATAAGTAATAAGATTTTGTATTTTATAAATAAAAAATTTTACAAAATTGGGTAATGTGTTTTATTAATGAGTCAGATTAGTGTAGATAGGAACAAAGGAGTATAATACAATAGCACCACGCTGAGGAAGAATAGATAATGACTAATAATAGATAAGTTGATAAGAACAATGGAGCGCTAATGACGGTGGAGACCCGCACCGGATATCAATTAGATAAGAGTTAATTGATCTGCACATCTCCGGAACCGTGCATCCTACGCAAAAATGGACCGCAGATTCGTGATCAGAGCATGCCAAAACCCTCCTATTTTAGGATCGTGAGTCGACGTACGTCGTACTTGTACCACTTCTGACTCAGTGAGCCAGAACTGGTACAACGTAACTACTGACGTTTTTGTACGCTGACCGGCGAACAAACCCGTGAGGAAACTGTTGCCGCGCCGTTTGGTTTTCATAGCAGCGTGCGCATGGGTGAAAAAATTGTCACTCTCCACGTCGTTCGTTCGCTATTTTCATTGCGACCAGACTGACGCGTGCAAAATGGCGTTAATTACAAATCTATAGTCAGTGCAAAGTGAACCCTAAATACAATAACACCATCTACGCAAAACTTGAATGTTCATGAAAACTATATTTTTTTTCTAGGATAAGGGTGACAAGCGACCACACAGTCCACCTGATGTTAAATGGTTGCTGTGGCCCATAGACGTCTATATCTATCCTTGTATGCGAATCAAAAAGCAGATGCGTTGTCAGCCGTGAGGACTAAGATGAAATGCCTCTTTTCCAGTAAAAGAGGTCTCCACTTACCATACGAAACACAGCAGCATTATGCTACTATTTTACGCTGGTATTATATAGTACATGCGGGTAATATGGTCATTTTCTTGTAACTCAAAAACTACAGCCTTGTTTGCATAGATAACCGTGTGATACGATACCTTTTCAATCAAATAATAAAGGGTCAAAAGGGCGCTGCTTTATCGACACCATTTCCACAATTTACATGTTCTCGAAGTTTATAAAACATGGTGTAAAACTTTCCACTTATTAGCCTGTCACTCCAAAGGGGGTGTTCCCAGTAATTTTTTAGCGTTTTTATTCTACTTAGTCTGATGAGTTCACAGACAACGACCGTCTCTTCGAAGTCCATGTCGACAAATGATGTTTCGATTTCAAAAAATATCGTCATTGTCACCCTTCGTGAACGCATTCCGCTTTGGGAACGTGACGTGACGATGACAAAAACTTTTACCTCACGGTGACAAAAATCACCAGTGCGCGCTAGCTCTTACTCTACATCGGCAGCTATCGCCGACAAGGAAACCTCAATTTGAAAATCTAATAGACGTAAATTTTCCTTACGATATTTAAAAATTAAAAATTTAATTAAAAAATATTGTAGGAGCATAAAGTAATGGGAAACTAGAGATTTTGAGCAATCCAAAAATATATAATATTTATATATTATTTCCTTGAAGAACTTAGAAAATATCTTAAAATTAACTTCCATATTGAGTAATCTAATTAACATGAAAGTGCATTTCAAAGTTTTGATGTAATTTTATATACGTAAAACTCATTATTATTATTTGATTTTTCTAATATATTAGATAGCTCTATCTTCTCCGAATATAAAACTATCAAAACAGTTTCGGTAACAACACTTTTGTTTGAACCATTTTTGAGATGAATTGCCAAAACTTACACTTTGAGCATTAGTGAGTAGAAGAGTAGTTAGTGAGTAATAGTGTTACCATTACCAGTATAACATCACATGTCAAATAAATAATTACATTTTCATACTGAATAATATCCCCCACCTCCCGGCTCGAACAAGGTCTTTGTCACATATTATACATTCCAACATCATTTAGAAGTTGTCTATATATCCATAATTATTTAAACACGTTGAGATAGAGAAAAGAAATTGTGTGTAGTGTGTGTAGTATGTAGTGTGTAGTGCGTGAAGTGACGTGTGCAGGTCAGGCGTGATGTGGGTGGACAGTGCGCTGAAGCTAGGCACGCTCGACGTGTCGTAGTGTTTGTAGTATGTAGAGTGTAGTGTGTAGTACTGTAGTGTCGTGTAGTCACACCTTCCAACATTACAATACGTGAAGTAGCTTGTGTGTAGGTTTCGGGTGTGATGTGTTTTGGCTGCGGACGCACGAGCGCGATTTCACTGGGTGCGCACGTCGCGCTCGTCGTGTCGTAGTATGTGTAGTGTGTAGCTTGTAGTACTGTAGTGTCATGTAGCCACACCGTCCAACATTACAGTATGTGAAGTGGCGGGTGTGTAAGTGTCAGGGGTGATGTGGATGGACAGCGTAGTGTATGTAATGTGTAGCGTGTAGTACTGTAGCATCGTGTAGCCACACCTTCCAACATTACAGTACGTGAAGTCGCGTGTTTTCAGGTGTCGGGCGTGATGTGGGTGGACAGTGGGCGCGCGAGCGCAATGACGCTGGGCGCGCCCATCGTGCTCGTCGTGTCGCTGGGCGCGCGCGATGCAGAGATCACTGCAGGTAACCTAGACCTTGCACACAATCCTCCATCACGTAGAAGTGATAAGGCTGGCGGAGAAGAATTTTATTGATATCCAATCTTCCTTCATGTTTGGGAAAGGCCTAGGTTTAATTTTTAAATGTATGAACTAAAACAAACATAAACAATAGCGTCTCTTTCATGCAGTAAGGTGTAAGACAAAATGAAACAATACTCCCGACTTTAGCCTTAACATGGCTTTTTAAGACATTTTCGAGTTATTGGACAGGAAAGAACACGGTATGGATCAACATCAATGGCTAATTCGCTGGACGTCTAAAGTTGAGTGAGGGCCGAATGCCCAAGGAGTACTAACGAATATTTCGTCATATAAAATATCACAGTCTTTCACATTAGAATAAATATAAATGAGGCTTTATTTTTTGGCTTAAACTCCAAAAATACGAATATATGATTGAGATATTTCTTAAATATTAAAAAATAAAATACAAATAGCGCATTTTGAATGTAAAAACTTTTGTAATAAACAAGACAGTGTATTTTGAATGTGAAAACCTTTCATTGAAGTTTGTACGGACCACAGAAATCGTAATAATACAAGACACTAGAAGTCGCATAGACACGTGGCCTTGTCGCCGCTATGATGTGTTGACGAACATCGTTCACAATTTAGTGATTTAGTAGCGCGGGGAACGTCGTACGTGATTTTATGTTATTATAATGGTAAACTACAGCATAATCAATTGTAAAAACTCATCAAGGACGTGTAATTAAACTAATAAAGGCATAATATTTCATCGATAAGTTGATTATATTCTAATTATCATTGTTTTATCTAATTTACATCTGGGTGAATACTTGACTATGATATTTTGTAACCTTTGTAAACTTTCATTTATTACTTTTTGTGTTGTACAATTACCATTGCTGCTTTTGTTCTACCGTAATACGCGACGCACGCGACGTTTACACAACACAATTCGCCAAGCAATGTAATGTGAAACATTAGATATCATTGTGCATTGCGTATATTTATAATACGGCTGCAGGCATCGGTCGCTTAATGCGCATATGTTAAAATGTGGCGACATCGGTTTCAGAATTAATCGAGCGCTAATTCATTTCTATTGTTTTATTATTACTATTTCTGTGGTACGGACCACATTTTGCGACTCGTACAGCTTCTTTAACAGTTAAATTAGTTTAATACGTAATACTAATAGGTACGTAGGTAATACGTTAGTATTAGTAGCGAATAAAGTATCCACGAATATAGTTAATTTACCGGCTTATTACACACACTGATTGCTGCATTGTATTGCGGATTGCTGTAATCCCAAGAATATGCTAGCTAGCAAACATTTCTTGGAATGTGTTTCCACATTAGCACGTTGGATAGATAGGTTGATGAGGACAGAACCGGTACTCTTGCATGGCTGGCCATACTACACCACTCACTAATACAAATAAAATGAAAAATTAAATCCAAACCCAAGCATACCAGTACCACTCGTTCTGCGTAGATCGGACTTCTTAATATTCAAAAGCTGAAAGTAGCCGGACCAACATGACATCGGAACATCAAATGGCGGCTGTAGTACGCTCGTCTTGTCGCATCGCGTCGTTATCACGTCGCGTGCCTCTCGTCGCGAGAACACATCTTGTACACACTCGTTGTATCGTTTGAACTCCGTGTGCCCGCTGAGATGGACATAGAAGAAACTGTTGCTGCGTTTTGCCATTGTGCTATTAGGTATTATAATTTTTTACAAATTTACCATAAAAAAATTAATAAGCCATGGCGAAAAAGAAGATGGTGGATCGTTTCTATTTACCGTAACAAAACCATGTACGGTTAACAGAATACAGGACGCCCTCGTTATCATCGCGAGACCCACGAGACCCTTTGACTCGAGTGCAAAAAACCGATACGCTTCGAGAGCGAACGAGGTCTGCGAGATTCGCCGCAACGCGACGAGAGCACCATGTACACATTCGTACTCCGCCTGTCTCGTGGTGTCTCGACGAGCGTTTACAGCCGCCAGAAAGCGAAAGAGGGCTGCGAGACGGGACGCGACGCGACGATTGCACTGTATACAGATTCGTACTCGGCCTGTCTCGTGGTGTCTCGACGAGCGTGTACAGCCGCCAGAAAGCGAACGAGGGCTGCGAGACGGGACGCGACGCGACGATGGCACTGTATACAGATTCGTACTCGGCCTGTCTCGTGGTGTCTCGACGAGCGTGTACAGCCGCCAGAAAGCGAACGAGGGCTGCGAGACGGGACGCGACGCGACGATGGCATTGTATACAGATTCGTACTCGGCCTGTCTCGTGGTGTCTCGACGAGCGCGTACAGCCGCCAGAAAGCGAACGAGGGCTGCGAGACGGGACGCGACGCGACGATGGAACTGTATACAAATTCGTACTCGGCCTGTCTTGTGGTGTCTCGACGAGCGTGTACAGCCGCCAGAAAGCGAACGAGGGCTGCGAGACGGGACGCGACACGACGATGGCACTGTATACAAATTCGTACTCGGCCTGTCTCGTGGTGTCTAGACGAGCGTGTACAGCCGCCAGAAAGCGAACGAGGTCTGCGAGACGGGACGCGACGCGACGATGGCACTGTATACAGATTTGTACTCGGCCTGTCTCGTGGTGTCTCGACGAGCGTGTACAGCCGCCAGAAAGCGAACAAGGGCTGCGAGACGGGACGCGACGCGACGATGGCACTGTATACAGATTCGTACTCGGCCTGTCTCGTGGTGTCTCGACGAGCGTGTACAACCGCCAGAAAGCGAACGAGGGCTGCGAGACGGGACGCGACGCGACGATGGCACTGTATACAGATTCGTACTCGGCCTGTCTCGTGGTGTCTCGACGAGCGTGTACAGCCGCCAGAAAGCGAACGAGGGCTGCGAGACGGGACGCGACGCGACGATGGCACTGTATACAGAATTGTACTCGGCCTGTCTCGTGGTGTCTCGACGAGCGTGTACAGCCGCCGAAACACTTCAGTCCTATACATTCAGTGACAAGAGAGTCAAACTTCGGGAATTTAAAGGGTAAAACTGAACGCGGTAAAATCCGTAAAATTAGTTTTATATAATGTGTATTATTCGCGTAAATATAAGAAATCATATTTGATGTGGTTTTAGGTCCGTCCTATTTTATGGAATATGGAATATCCGTTTTTTGTTTTTTACCAGAACCTCGATCGTTGATTTGCATATTTCACTGTGTTCCCGTGTAGTTAGCACTTAAGGAATATGTTCGTAAACCTCCCTTATTTGAAATAAATTCTAAATTTGGCATTAAATGGCTCGTAAAATACAAATAAGGAACGACTGGTAAATTAATACAATTTTATAAATTTATTATAGTGATTCATGGCTGTCCGGTGATTCAAGCAATACAATCACAGCCTCTCGGAGCTCGCGCTATACACGACGAGCTCGCACGGATACTTGATGAAGATAATGGTACAGAGTTGCATCTCAGTGAAGATGTGCTGGAGGACATTAAAGGTAATATTACAGAACATTTTTCGCTCATTCACTCGAATCGTGTTTTCATCTAAGATAGTACTTAACATTAATCCTCAACCTTACCATACATTTATTTCAACATTAATGCTGCAATATTTTCGGCATAACGGAGGATCTTGCTAAGCCATTTGAGGTAGCATAGGCCCTTAAGAACGTCTTGTATTTAAACGTATTTCATACAAACTGACTGCTTTGTTGATCTAGTGATCGAAAATGCGACCGTCGATCATGATGTGAAAATGCGATGTCGGTCCCGGGTTCGAATTACGGAATCAAAAAAATTAAGTTATTGAGTATTAGCGACGATATATAACTAATTTTTTATATGCGATAATCCTTTACTTTTATTGTTCTCTGTGATAAATTTTGTAAGTTAAGCAATAATTATAGATAATAAGTTGTTGTGTATTCCTGCCGCCTGGCGGCGCCACTTGTGTTATAGTATAACGTAATCTAAAGTACTAATAAAGTAAACTATTAATAAAATAACTATTATAATAAAAACAAACTATAAATAAAGTAAAATAATAAACAAGGACCTTTTTTGTATTTTGTTATTTTTAAGGTGTAAATATAATACTAATAAAACTATCCCAGTGCTAGCAAAATAAGAAAATCATTGTAAGATGTGATTGGCCACGAAAAACCAGCAGATGTACGTTTCCCATACAAAAGTGTTTTTAGTGCCGTGTTCAAAATATCTAAACTCTGATTAGTCGAGTTTAAAATCATTAGTGATATGTAGAAAATTTAATTTATTTTATATAAGGATCTGATTGGTCAGACCTGCCTATAAAAGAAGGGTACCTTTTTGTCGTCAGGCGTTCTAAATCCATCCAAGTGGAATAAGAAGAAAAGGAAAATAAAGAAAAAAATACTAAGAATTCCGAAGAAGCGTTATTATTTCATACTTTGCTACCACCGCACTCTTTTCTATTATCATCCCGCCACTGAACCCGTTCCACAAACGTACAAGAGTGTTGGTCCTTCAAGCCAGATCGAGTATCAAGGAACTGGGAAGATGCCTACGAATACAAGATCAAGATCAGTGCAATCGAAAGCTATAACTGAAAGTAATGCTACTACGTATACTGTGGGTCCCAGCAAGACCGATTGTAGTATGAATACACCGAGTGAATATTCAAGTGCGGCGACTACGACTACGTCGATAGCGAATCGTTCGACACGTACCATGAGGACGCTGCCGGACAGCTTACAAGAACGCCAGCAACCCGCACACCATTCCAAGGATATTGCCGAAGAGGAATCAACACCGGAGGGTGCAATCCATACTACTCCCCCCCCCCCTCCGACCCGCACATCGAAGTATCAAATCCCGCAAAAATAAGAGTTATTCAACGCAGCAGATTCAAAATGTGAAGGGTTGCGATAAAGACGCGTCTGAACGATGGAAGTACACTAACGTCCAGAGAAGAGAGTGCAACGGCCTCACACTACGAAGCCGACCCGCGAGCAGCCGCCGAGCAGAAGCACAAGCAAGAACGATCAAAGTGGCTTGAGCTGAACTAGAACTTCTTGCTACAGAGTCAGAAGAAGAGGAAGATGGTGCCAGAGAAGAAATGTTCGAATGAACTCAAGAAGTCGAGAAGTGGTTCGTCTAGACCGGGATCAGACCTGATAAGAATCAGAATCAAGACAGAAGAAATGGATACCGACATTCAGAAGTTGGCTTCAGTCATACTCAAGTTATCTGAGAAGGCACGTGACATGGTTTCATCGAAGCACCTTCAACCCACTCATTTCAACGGGATCTGTGAAGAATGGCTACCCTTCGAGAGATCATATGAAGATATGGCCGCTTCCTTCAGTAGCAGTAAGAACCTGGCGCGGCTTAAAATAGAGATGTAAGGAAAAGCTAGCAAAGCCATCTAAAGCTTGCCGTTCACTGCCAAAGACCCACGCGAAGTAATCAAGGGACTGAAAGCAAGATTATGAAGACCTGGAGCGTTGGCATTAGCAGAACTAGAAAAGATGAAGAATCTTTCCAAAGCCAATATTGGAGTCGAAGGGAAACAAAAAAAGTCACAATAAAAACAACCGGCAGAAATGTGTTAAGAAAAAGATATTTCACAGAAGATCGAGTTCAAGATGAAAGGGGCACATCGAAGAAAAAAGAGAACTATCGCAGCAAGAACCATCGATGACCTAAAGCTGTCCGAACCAAAACCAAAAAGCCGAAACCAAGGACGTTCAAAACCTTCGTAGCCAATAGACTGGCAGAAATTGAAAAGAACTCTAAGCCAGAAGACTGGGGATGGGTACCAACCAAGAAAATCTAGCTGACGACGCCACGAGGGGGACCTCAATACGAGGGGTGATCCAAAAGTAATGATAATCGGTTACTTCAGGTCCACATAAAATTCCAAAAATATATATTTTTGCTTGCTTATACTCACTACGTCAGCCTAAAAAATCATATAAATAGATCACGATTTCCGGGAGATACATTCATTTGAATACGAACTGTCAAAGAGATAACATAAACATGGAGAAAAACGAAATTAGAGCTGTCATCAAGTACCTCTGTTTAAAAAAAATTTCTTCAAAAGACATACACAGTGACTTAGTGGAAACATTGGGGGACTCTGCTCCTCCAAATTCTACAGTTGCACGCTGGGCCAAGGAGTTTAAACTGAGCAGAACATCCACTGAAGTGGAACATCGTGAAGGACGCCCATCCACGTCCCTCACTGAAGACAACGTGAAAAAAGTCGAAGATGTTGTGTTTGCAGATCGAAGAGTGACCATCAGGCATGTAGCTGAGGTCACAGGGATCTCATATGGCAGCGTTCAAAGAATCCTTGCGAATGAGTTGCATATGAAAAAGGTCTCTGCGCGTTGGGTACCCAGAATGTTAACCGACGAGCAAAAGAAAAATCGAGTTGACATTTCGAGGGTAAATCTCGAAAAGTTCCAAGCAGATCAAGAAAATTTTTTGTTACGTTTTGTGACTATGGACGAGACCTAGATCCACCATTTTGATCCTGAAACGAAACAACGATCGATGACTTGGAAGCGAGCCTCCTCACCGAGGCCAAAGAAATTCAAAGTTTCAAGTTCGACGGGAAAGGTTATGGCATCTGTTTTTTGGGACGCTCAAGGCATAATTATGGTGGAATATTTGGAAAAGGGAGCCACTATTACGGGCTCTTACTACGCAGACCAAATAAGAAGATTACGGGAGGCCATTAAGGAAAAAAGACGCAGCAAACTGCGAGCTGGAGTGCTGTTTCACCAAGACAACGCACCGGCTCACAAAGCCGCAGTTGCGATGGCTGCCATTCAAGTAACGGGATTCGAACTGCTCGAACAGATCTAGCTCCTAGTGACTTTTACCTCTTTCCTCGGCTCAAGGAACGCCTCCGAAGCAAGAAGTTCGAAGACGATAGCGAAGTAATGGCCGCTATTGAAGCGTTTTTTGAACGCCTCCGAAGCAAGAAGTTCGAAGACGATAGCGAAGTAATGGCCGCTGTTGAAGCGTTTTGGGAGGGTCAAGACAAAGAATTTTTTCAAAGGGAATCCTGGGTTTAGAAAAAAGATGGACTAAATGTATTGATTTGTTAGGAGACTATGTAGAAACATAAATTATTATTTTAACTTTAATTACCGTGTTTTATTTTCATTATCATTACTTTTGGATCACCCCTCGTAGAATTTAACTACAACCTCAGATAATTCTAAGGCCCGTCATTTGTCCGTCAACCCGAAGACGAGTAGCCGTTTTACGACTACTAACCATAGGGTAGGTAAAATACTACTAAACTAGGGTACCATGCTAGAAGAAAAAAATAAACTAAAGGTGATGGCGATAAAGGTTACGGAAAGCATCCTTTTAGATCTTGAGAGTTTCTCAAGCTGGGAGCGACTACTGCGTGCTACGGCCAGAGTGGTTGCTTTCACATACCGCTTATTGATTAAGACCCGCAAAGAAGCTAACGCCGCTGCGCGCCAGAGGGACGAGCCCTGGAAATCCCAGGTGAAAACCCAGAAGCAGGAAATGCGAATCTCAAATTAACCAGCCAATGGAGACTAAAATAAGCGACTTTACCTACCTCTGGAAAAAGAACACTTAAAGAAGGCTGAAGAAATATTGATGAAGATAATAAATAATCTGAAGGCAGAAAAACGCTTAGAAAGCACAAGCAGACTTGAAGAAGATCGATGTTTATATAGGAGACGACGGAATTATCAAGTTAAGAAGTAGGACAATGAAATTTCACGACAAAAGCGCAAGGAAGATGAATCCCATCATTCTAGATGAAAAAGAGATGATTACACGTGTCATTATACTTTGTTACCACAAGAAGTTCCTTCACGAAAATACTGATACAGTAATAAACAAGATTCGATAAAGGTACGATCCTGGGCTTAAGACCGGCATTAAAGACAATCGCACATAGCTGTCCATGGTGTAAAACCAAGAAGAGTCTGCCAGAGATACCTCCGACGGGAGACCTACCGAGCGAGGGATTGCAGCGTCATTAGTTCCTGTTTTCTTTAACCGCCGTAGACTACTTTGGGCTGATGCAAATTACTGTTGGGAGAAGAGCTGAGAAGAGCTGGGGGCATTATTTGCTTGTTCTCACCACCAGAGCCGTACGTCTAGAGCTGACTCTTAGCATTAGCTCGATGGTTATGGCACTTCAACTAATGTAAACCAGAACAGGAACACCAAAAATTATATTCTGTGATAATATAACCAACTTCGTCGGAGCGATAAGGGAACTGGAAGAAGTCGCAGAAGAGAAGGGCATCAAGTGGAAATTTATCCACTTGGGAGCTCCAAACATGGGAGGCGCTTGGGAGAGACTTGTGCGAACAGTCAAGACGCACGAGACGAAGACGAGATGGAAGAAGCCGCCCTCAAAGGAATACTTTATACGCTTATGACCAAGGTCATTCTATATACATAGTCGATTCTGGACCTCTCACCCCAGTAATCCCATGTGGGTTCATCCCAGAATATGAAGAGTGTCTGACGCTGAACCACTTCCTTCTGGGGAGATCGTGTTGAGCAATGGCGCCTGGATAATTCGACAATAGAGAGTTAAATGGGGAAGAAAAACTGGTGGACCACTTCTGGAGAGAGATGGGTCAAAGAGTACTCTCCTCATGCCAAGGAAGCTCGAATAAAGAGACCCAAGAGTTGGAGATATCGTGCTAAGGGTGGACGCAATATTATAACGAAATTCGTGGCGTCGCGGAGAAGTTATCGACACATATTCTGGACTAGATGAAAGAACCCAAGTGTCGGACGTGCGAACATCGGGAGGAATATTGCGCCGCCCAACTGGTCTGATCATCGTGCTGGTTCATGCGGTATCGTCGCTCCGGAGGATCAAGTGCTTCGCACCGTGGGGGAGAATGTTAGTGACGATATGTAACTAAATTTTAATGTGCGATAATCCTACTTACTTTTATTGTTCTCTGTGATAAATTTTGTAATCCTTTCGTCTGGCTGAGCTACTTGTATTATTGTATAACGTAAGCTTAACTACTAAGGAACTTTACCGTAACGAGGACCTATTTTGTATATTGTTATTTTTAAGATGTAAATTAAGGCTTTTTGATAATATTTTTGTGCAAATAAGTAAAATAAAACTACTTCAAGGCTAGGACAATAACAAAAACATTGTAAGAAAAGTTTGACAATGAAAATACAACAGATGTAAGTTTCCCATACAAAGGTGTTTTAGTGCTGTGTGCAAATCATCTGCACTCTGAATGGTCGAGTTACAAATAATTAGTGTCGTGTGCAAAATTGAACGGATCTGATTAGTCAGAGCTGTTTGTAAAGAAGGGTACCTTCCCGTGGTCAGGCATTCCAAATCCAGCAATGAAATAAGAAGAAAAAGGAAAATAAAGATGGAAAAACTAAGAGTTCGGAAGAAACGTTATTATAACTTTCCTTTGCTACACCCGCACTCTTTCGATTATCAGCGCGCCAGCGAATACGCTCTACACGAGCTTCAACATTGAGATTTTTAAGTCAAGAAATTCTCAGTGTCAGTCGGTAGTCGAGAAATTGATGGTGCTTCACCCCGTGTCTTGGAAAGAATGTAAAGCCGTTGGTACTGCGCCTGATCTTTCTCCGGTCGTGTCAATTTAGTGTTTCATCGGACTATGAGCGTGAGGGTATAGAGAGTGCATATGTACACGAGCATACGCTCGTGTTTATAATCTTATCTTGCGCAGATGGCTAGTCTGTGTTATGACTGGCCACCGTGACCGAAATTAGGTCTGGAGGACGCATTTAGTATTATCATTATTATTATTTGATACAAAAATTGTTCATTAAGTTAGTAAGTACATTGAGTCCTTGTATGTGGACAGTGCGCGCGTGCTTCGTGCCGTCGCGCGAGAAGGCATTGGAGTGGGCGGAGCGCGGCGTAGCGAGCGACGTGCGGGAGGTGCGCGGGGTGGGCGAGGGGCGCGCGGACGGTGGCGCGCGCGTGCCGGTGTCGCGCCGTGCACGCGCACTCGCCGCCGAGCCGCTATTCGCGCGTGACAATGAACTCGCCTCGCTACCCGACATCGTGCTGCAGTGCATCCTACAGGTCGCTACCCACTGCACACATTCTTGCAATACATCATACGCCGTATACTACACAATACGTCATATGCCGACGCCATTGAACTAAATTGTACTAGCGTACATAGAAACAACAATGCGTACAAAATGTTTGCGCCGTGAGTTGTTGCCGATCGGCAACAACTTACACAATTATGAACACGATTTTATTGTTATCTTTGATTTTGTACAAGAAAATAGAAAATTTTATTGATTTTCCGTTTGTAATCCGTCTAATACTAAGAATTTAAAAAGAGCTACGTCAAAACTATTAAAAATTACTTGCCGGTTTTATTCTTCTTGCCACCTCTAATTGTTATGCCGCGTGCAAATCTTCGTAGGTAAATTTCGGTGCAACATGCATGTGTAAATTGCACAGCGCAAGGCGTCACGGGTCGGCCGGGCGACGGCAGCGCGTGTGTGAAAGGGAAGGGTAGAATGAGCGAATTACGGTAATACCTATGCATTGTTTCGTATCGAGCTAAATAAAAGAATTCAGCGTCCGCGCGTTTATTGACCCTATAATCAGCTGGTACCATTTTAATTTTCACTGCTGGTTTTATTTTTCAGTATTTTCACGATTTTTTTATGAATTTATTGTTTTATTTAGCTTAGTACAGCACATTTCAGCTTAGTATTAGCAACACGATGGAGGGTGAATAAAACTAATAAAACGTAATGAAAAGATGATTTTTTTTTCATCATGATCGATTTTCTTCTGGTCCTATCATCGAAGGTATCGCCTGTCTTCATTTTCGGGAGCGTTTCACAAACACCAAGTATAGTACTCATTAATTACAAAAAGGTTTATATCAATTTTACCTATTACGAAGTTCGGGTTTGACCGTTCTTCACTGCTTGTTTATTCTATAGGCACACGACACCTTCGTACCTTTTTGAACAAAACTCGTAAGCGACGCCGTTTCAGCAGCGTTTACGACTTTTTTCTCGCAATAATTGACGGCATAATATTTTTAGCGCTGTAGATGAAAAATGTTACAAAATAAAAATAATTACTGCAAAAACATTTTTACAGTTAGCCGCTCTAGTGCGTGGTACATAGTATCTCGATGGCCGACGCGATCATTCCACATTGCACGAACTACGCAGCATACCACACTCTGCACGCAAATCAAATCATACAACGATCGTCATATGCATCCGAAGATCCGGCACGAAAGACCAAGCACTACATAATTCAGAACTTCGCTGTACTTATGGTTGGATAATGTCAATAATATGCTATATTATATGGAATCAGGTTTACACAAATCACAAATAACGTAATAATGAAATTATATTAAAAACTTAATATCATACCATAGTTTAAATGTGTTATAACTTGGATAGATGCTAACGCGTTCAATATTATATGTATATGCGTTCTAACTGGTCACGTCGTGGCATAAGCAAAATTTACTTTACTTTAACTGTACAAATGAACGCGTTTAGCTACTCGACTTTTGTGCATTCAAGTTATTATAAGTTAAAAGTTAAAAACATTACATAATATACACTGTACAGTATACAACACACCATACGTCATTAAACACGGTGACAATTTTTTTTTTCGGTGTCGGCTTAAACCCACCTTTTTTTTTTTTAACCCGGCTGGGGGTCTTTTTTTTTTTTTTTTTTTCCTTTTTTCCTTTTTTGACTAGTTTTTTTTTTGGGTTACACTAAACACTGTACAAAATACGTCACACCATAATATAATATTCACCAACATTATTTTTAGTTACAATAGAAGGTACGTATCATAATTGAATAATTTTGACTTTTGTTTTCAACGACGTCAACTTTTTTATGGTATAGGGTGACAAACGAGCACACAGTCCACCTGATGGTAGGTGATTGATGTGGCCCATAGACATCTACATATGTCCTATTACAAATGATGAAGAAGGAATGACTAGTTTCCAGTAAAAAGGGTCCTCGTTTCTATGCACTCACCACACGAAAATCAGCAGCATTAAGCAAATATTTTACTCTATTATTCTGTGAGAGCGTGGTTCTTCCCCGATCGAGCCGACCCATTCGTGCTACAACTATACCACTATAACTGCAGCATGGCTCTACCACGTATAAAATGTTATCGACAGCTGCCATTGTTAAAGATGAAAAAATGACAGATGCCACAGACGTTAGCGAATGATACTATTTAAGAATTTTTATCAATGTCAATGTTAATTTCGTTGGGGGTTCGAGCGTCTGGGTTATGGCCTTGATTAGTGTGTTATAGAAAGCCTGTACTGATGTTTTTTCTTGGCATTTATATAAATCTCGTAACTGAGGTGAAATGTTCTGTTTATACGATATAATTCTTGTTCAATTTTCAATGATGAATAGCGATTGCTTTTATACGCTGTGCGTTTTTTCTTCTGCTTTGTGATAGACATTGTTGCTCTGATTACTCTGTGGTCTGACGGGTAGTTCAGATTTAAAACTTCTGTTTTGGAAGATTTTTGGTTGATTTGACAGTACGTAATCTATTTCATTTTAGTATTTATCGTTAGGTGATCGCCAGGTCCATCTTTGGTTTGGTTTTTTATGAAAGAAAGTATTTAAGATGGCAAGTTTGTGTTAGAGGGCGAAATCAATTAGCCTCTGACCTTTTTGGTTTCTTTCGCCATACCCGTTTGGTTTCATTATTAGATGTTCATATTTTCTTGGTTGACCTATTTTTGCATTAAAATCACCCATTATTATAAGGTTCTTGTAAGCTTGGTCTAGGGCTCTATTGACATTTGAGTAGAAGGTGTTAATCTCTTCTTCACACGCTGTTTCAGTCAGTGCATATATTTGGATAATTGACATGGGCAATCCTTGTATGTTTAAGTTCAATAATGCTAGTCTATCATTTATGCTCATGAAACTTTCAGTCCAGTTCTTGCGGGTTTTATTTATTATGAAACCGACTCCATGATTGCCAGGTGCGTGTCTCCCGTGTTCTTCTATCCGGGTGCCCGTCCTCCTTAATTCACACAATCCAATTATGTCGTATTTGACTCTAATGAGTGCTTCGCTAAGTTCGATTAAGCGTTCGTAAGTAGATAAAGTTCTGATATAAGTTACTATGTAGAGCTGATCTTTCTTCTTTTTAGTTGAGTGAAGTATTTCTTGGGTAACTGTAACTTCTACAATAACAAGAAATGATACACAAATTTCTTGTTATTGTAGAAGTTACAGTTTGAGATGTCTTCTTTAGAGGGTTTTGGTCTTAATCTTCCACGGTGACCAGCCGGATTGGAAGATGTTTTTCGTTGCTTAGTTGAAATTGATTGAATGTTGCATCGTTGAGACACACAACATTATATATATTTTACGTGGTAGAGCCATGCTGCAGTTATATTAGTAGTATAGTTGTAGCAAAAATGGGTCGGCTCAACCGGGGAAGGACTATGCTCACAGAATACCAGCGTGAAATAGTAGCTTAAGGCTGCTGTATTTCGTATGGTGAGTGTGGAGAACCGGAGACCCTTTTTACTGGAAACGAGGCACTCCATCTTAGTCCTCATGGGTGACAACGCATCTGCATTTTATTTTGTAATCGTGGATACATGTAGATGTCTATGGGCCGCAGCAACAACTTACCATCAGGTCGACTGTGTGCTCGTTCGTCGCCCTATCCTATAAAAAAATATATATATCTAAAAATCTATGAAGAATTTTCTGATGTAGTAAATGGAAGAGTGATAAGTTATTTTAAGGTCTTTAATAAAAAATTAAAAAAAAATATTTCAGATTTTTTTTGTTTTAAATAAAAATGTTAATATTTTTAATCGCCGTAGAAAATTGGCATTATTAGTATTAGGGTTCGTGACAATAAAAACTGCTGATTGAATTACCAAAATTAACACTTTAATTGCCGAAGACCAATTACAACTTAAAACACATTAATAATTAATCACACTTAACACTTTGTTCGCAAATCGCTGTCGCTATCGCTTCGAAGTATTCACTTGTATCGCCAATTCAATACTGACCCGGGTCGCGGTTAATAACAGTCTTATATAGGACCCTTTTCTACAGAAAACATCAAGAATATTCGAGTAGAATGTCGAAAGTTCTAACAAAGAATTTTCTTGAAAGCTCTCCTAGTTCTGCTACTCCATACTAGATGTTGCTAGGGAATTTTCAGGAAAGATCTTGACGTTCCTATTTCTGCTACTTGAAACTAGATGGCGCTAACTATTCCCCGCCATGTACCAGCCATTAATTATGGCGCGCAACAGTATGATAAAAAACTTCATTTCTTATAAAACTTACTCCTACTTTATTTAAATTTAACAAAAATCTTATAAAATCTAATTATTAATGATTAGTGTGGTGCCACCTATTACATTAATTATGCATCGAAATCGATTGTAATGATACTTAAAATTAAATTGTCAATGTCTTGCTGCGGTATGAGGTCCCATGTTCTTTGCAAGTGTTGATAAAATTGTTGTTTCATCGTCAAATTTGCCGGGAAATCTCTCAAAGCTTTTCTTTGTAACATGTCCCGCTGCTCGATAGAATTTAACTTGGGCGACTGTGCAGGCCAATCCAAAACTTGAATATTGTGGTCTTGGAGAGCGGCCGAGACTAGCCGTATGGGAAGGAGCATTATCGTGCATGAGTAAAAATTCCTGTCCCATTTGAATTCTGTGTGGGACAATAACAGGCTCTAAAATTGATGCAAAATAATGCAAATGCAAAAATAAAAAAAAAAGGAAAAAATTGATGCAAAATTTAGTACCCGTGAAACACCGACAAAAAAATCGATTCTTGACCATGTCTCATCCAATTTTAAAAATCATAAATTCCATATGACTATAGTAGAATCGCCAATGTTAGACCACAAGCAAATATATTTAGAAATTGGCGATTATAAACCGAAAACGAAGAAGAGAGTAAAGTATCATACCTTAGATTACACAACTATATACTCTAAAGTAGAAAGCACAATAATGAATATATCCGATAATGACTACGATAGCCTAG